ACGCGGGGCCCGCCCACGCACAAAACTCCGCCAAAACAACTTGGCTTCCGCATCCGCGCGGGCGGGGGGCGCGCGCGTCTCCGGGGCGATGCGCGGCGCCGTGCGCGTCGAGAAACAGTGCGTCCGAGCTCTCGACATAATCAAACGATGCATCCAATAAAGCACCATTTTTTTACAAAAAAAGAAGAAAAAACACACACACACACACACACACACACACACACACACACACACGCACACACGATCTGGCTTTTGCGTTCCAAGATATGTGTTTTTGTTCCCACGAGCTGCCTCCACTCCTCTTCCGAGTGGCCACAGCTCCAGGCGCGGTGGAAAATGGGGCCCGCAGGACCGCCGCAGTGCCTGCGTTATCGTGGAAATTGACATCCAGGACTGCGAGCTTTAGCGCGCGCCCACATGGACTCGCAGGCACAGGCGCGGAGGACCCCGCTTGAAGAGGAGCGCGCTTGGACGAGGCGAGGCTTGAGGGAGCGATGTCGAAACACAAACGATCGCGCGCGAAGTTGATATTTTTGACTAGGGAACGCTCGAGACCCATGATGACGGCGGCCCTAAGATGGGCCATCAAAAAAGCGGGCGACGCAAAGAGCAGGTCGCGTCCGTCACCTAGATCGCCGCGCAGGAGACTCGGATCCCACATGCCTCGCCCCAGCCTGGCCAGGGCAAACCGCGCGGCGGAAAGGGGGCCAAATACGAACGGGGGGGCCCCCGGCACGCCCCCAGCAACTACGGAAGACGGGGATAGGGCTTGCCGCCCTATGCTGCTCACCAGCCGTGAACCAGCCCCCCTTGCGCCATCCGCAGAACACCGATACCTGCGCCAGCCAGGATGGCCCCCGTTCCAACAACATGAGCGCGGACGGAAGCCTCTCCCCAGCCGAGGGCCTCATGATCCCGCCCAAGCTGCGTCTCAACTCAGGAACCTATGGGGGGGGGGGGGGCGACGCAGCACTCCGAACCGCGAGAAGAGGCGGAGAGCGGGGGTCCACGACCCGAAGAGTCTTGATAGAGGAAAGAGAACTATGCACATACACAGATTCTGGCCAGGCCCATCCTGAGCCCAGGATCGGTGCATACGCCCACTTACCTTGGCCAGGAAGGTATATGCACCGATCCTGGGTCAAGGATGGACGTTGTCAGGATCGGCGCACGTGCATAATTCTCTTCGCCCGATCTTGACTCCCCCGCCAAGAGCCCTGGAAAACCGTCCCGAGGCGCCCCCTGCTCCAGCGAAAGAAACGGCAGCAAAGTGGGGCCTGGAATGGCGCCGCACCCATTCGCCAGCTATGGGGCGGCATGCCTTCGCCCAGACTCGGCAAATTGAAACTAGCCGCAGTGGGGCGAGCCCCCTCGGGCAGCTTGGGGAGATGCATCGTCACGATTGCCACTCGCTCGGGCAAACTACCTGGAGCTTCCATGTCGAGAACAGAATCTAAAAGGCACCCGAGACCCCCATGTCGCAACCATCCAAAGTGGCAGATATGGAGACCGCCTGATGCCGCAGTGGATCCCCCCTCATGCTTCAGGCAAATATTTCGAGCCACGCCCAGCTCAAGGGGCGGCAGGAAGTTGGGGGCGGCGAAGGCTTCCAGAGCTCATCATACCTCTTGGCCTCAGCCGAAAGGGTACTCCGAGGATCACTGACCACCCTGGCGTCAGCCGAAAGAACCGCACGCGGATCCCAAGGAAGCAGGTTCTGCAGCCGCGAGATGCACGTTCCTGGCAACAGAACCAATACCCTGCAACGCTACGCCAGCCAGGACTGCAAGGCGTCATTCTGAGCGCGGGTTTCGGCGCCGTCCAAAGCACTCCTCACGTTCGCGCGGCAAGAGCCGAGAACGAGATCGGGATCCTCCAGGCCAGGGCGAGACCGCAGAACAGCGACAGAGGTCCAAAGCCTGCTGAACAAGGTCGACGATGAAGACCCTTAGGGGGCCACGCGCGAACCCCACCCCTACCCCCCACAATTTCTGAGGGGGGGGCGGGGTTCACTTCATCCAGGAGCTCCCGAGCGAAAGTGAACCCCACCTTCCCCCTCAGAAATCGTGGGGGGTAGGGGTAGGGTTCGCACGCAGCCCCCTAACCCTGAGTTTCGACGACACCGGGAGCTCAGTTCAGTGCAGCCTGCGCGCTGGCCCTCGTCGGAGCGGCCCTCGATGCAATTGTCGCTTGGGGTGTATCCCCCGATGCGGCGAGCAGGCCGGAGAAGGCATCGGCCCCGAGGCTGGGCGAAAAAACGATTTACGGACAGCGCCACGAACATGCGAAGCGTGGAACAAACGAACGGGCTGACCAGGCCCAGACGGGTAAGAGGGGGAGAGACCGAGCGGAGGAGCAGGAGAAGGAGGAGGAAAAGGAGGAGGAGAAGGAGGAGGAGGAGGGGAGGAGGGCAGGCAAGCTGGCAGGCATGGGCGGGGGGAGGCGGGGGGGCACAGCCGCGAGGCGCGAGCCTCGCCGTCAGGCGCACGCGCGCTGGGGCGAGCGGAGAAATGGAGGGGCGTCAGGACCGCGGGTGGGCGCGACGCGACGCCTACATAGCGCCCCCCCTCCAGGTCTGGCCAACGCGCCTGCGCCTACCTGGCGGCGACGCGCCGCAACCCCGCGCCAGCCGCCAGCACCGCCACCTCCCATCGGTGCAGCAGCGCCTCCGCAAGGCGTAGTCGCGAGCTTGCGGAGGATGGCTGTCGTCCGGACGTGCGGTCGGCCGTAGCAGGCGAAGATCAGCTGCTGGCGGGTTCTGTTTTGCCGCGCCAAAGAATCGACGCGCGCCGAATACTTGTCGATCTTGCGCCGGTACACGGCTGCCGCGCAAACTGGGCCTGCCGCCGCGGAGTCGAGCGAGGCGACACCCATGTCGAGGGAAGGGAGGCCGTTGCCGACGGCGCCCGTCAGCACGCCGGCTGATCGGAGGCGCGTCCCTGGCATCAAACCCAGGGTTCCGAGCTATGCGTTGGGGTCGCAGATTCTGGCGGCGGCGGCGTGCACCAGGCGTGACACCACGTAGTGCCCCCGAGTCAATTCCGCGCGACTGCAGCAAAGAGCGCGCGACCCAGCCCGGCCGACAAGAGCTTGGCCGCAGATACCGCACGTGACCAGGTCCAGCCACCTGGCGGCGCCGACGTGGCGGCGCATAGCCTCGACAAAACCGGAGCTGCCCATCACAGGGCCCTTGTGCTGCGAGAGGTTCCAGATTCAACGCTGGTCGCAGTCAGGGTGTTCGAAGCCGTCGAGCCGCCGAGCGCCCTCTTGAAAACTCTTACGAAACCACTGGCGTCTTGCAACACAATCCAATACGGCAAAGAGGGCCTCTCGCGCACGCATTCCGAAATCATTCGGACGCCCCTGCGCGCGCGCTGCGCTGGGGGGCACGATCCCTGCCAAATACATGCGGGCCTCTCGCGCCCGTCGGCCGCTTGCGCATGTCGGATTCCTTACAAAACCTTAAACCTTCATCACCGACACGTGGACACCGTCATCGTCACCGGCGTGATCATCATCGGCGCCGTCATTGGGATTGCCGTCGTTATCGTCACCCTCGCCGCCAGCATCGTTACTGCCATCATCGTGTCTGACGTTGTCGACGTCGCCGTGATACCGCAACTACCCGAAGTACCGACTCGCAATCAAGCGCCCGCGCGCCAGCGCGGCCTGCGAGACGCGCTGGGACGTGCCCAGCAGACAGCGCCACCGCGGCCGCGTCGGTCGCGCCAAACTAGATGGCCGCTCTGCGCGCGAGCCTGCGCCCGCTGGCGCGGCTGCCAGCGATGCGCCAGCCAGCGCCAAGCAGTCGTGGCGATAGCCGCCGCACGGATTTGGCAAACAAATTTGCTGGTGGGCGGGTGGTATGCTTGCGCGAGCAGTGGAGTTGACAAAATCAAGTTCGGCACGGTAACAGGTACCACGTAGATAGCACACAGATTATGCTAGAACGCGCTGCTTGGGGCCCAAACTGGCTAACATAATGGATAATTGTGAGGGAGGGGGGATTTCACCCACAACCTCCCCCTTCCTCCGTCCTCCTCTGCCCACCTGCCTCCCCCTCCCTCACCCTCCCCCCGTCCCCCCCTATCCCCCTCTCCTCATTCCTGCCCCTACCCCCTCCTCGCTGCCCCCCCGCCGACCTCCTCCCCGACGGGGGCGGGCATGGCGGGCGGAGGGCGCGCGGCTGGCTGGGCCGCGGGGCACTTCCCCCTGGCCTGCCGGAGGGCAACGGTGTTGGCCAGCGTGTAGCCTTGCGCCTTGCCCTGGGGGGCCGCTGGGGTCCGAGGGGGCCAAGGCGAGCGGGGGCGGGGGAGAGGAGCGCGGACGAGGAGGGGGGGGGGGAATGGAGGGGGGTGGGGGCGAGGGGTAGGAAGCACGGAGACGCGGTCGCGCGGATACGTTGCGCGCGGGGCATCCGCGACAAAAGCATCCCCTGTCCGAGGGGCGCGGCCTAGGGGCCAAGCCCCCGAAAGGCCGCGGATGCCCACGACTCGGACCTACATTCGGAACGGCACAGGACGCAGCCGCCGCCTGTCGGGGAACCGTCGGTGCCCGAACGCTTCGCGAGCGTTCCAAAACGCTCTGGAACGACTCATCCTCATCCGACGCCTGCCTGACCGCCACCGCGTGAGGTCTCTGGAGCATCAAGAACGGCCCTCACCGTCCTGAAAACCTGGATCCTGCTCCTCCTGCTCGACCCTAAAGCTGCTTGGACAGAAGGCGGGAGGCGGGGGCGGCAGTGCCAGAGGCTGGCTGTGCGGCCGCGGGCGCGAAGCGGGGGGTGGTGGCGGCCTGCGGCGACGACAAGATCACGATGTTCGTGCCGAACTCCCACTGCAGCGTCTGGATCAGGGACACCAGGGTGCTCATGTCCTCGGTACTGCCGTCGTCGTACAGCACAAACTCGGCGCTGGGCACCTCGTGAGCGGTCCGGAACACGCAGAGCAGCGCCTTGGCTGCCATCTCCGCGTTGTTGTGCACCGTCCACACGAAGCTGACTAGGGGCTGGCTGCCGTTCCTGAAGACCTTGGGGAAACAAAACTAGATCGATGCTGCTACTGCACGGTTGTCTTCTGGGGTGCGTTCCTGACCAAGATTTCGAGGCGAGTCCAGCCGTGGCGACGAGGGCAGGGCAACGGTATCGGTGTCTTTGTTCTCCTCTGAGACCTGGCCGCCGGAGGGCTCTGGGCACTTGTGATCGCCCGCCACGGGCATCGGTGATTCCAGCAGCAAGCTCTCCAGCAGGCAGTAGCCCCCCCTGCACTGCAGGCAGTCGTCCCACCGGCAGGCGCTGTCTGGCAGCCACGGCGCCAGCAGGCTGCGCCCGAAGCGGCAGGGGCCGAGCCGGCTCCACACGATGGACTCCTGTGGGGGAATCAGACGGTACCGATACCCTTACTATTAAGTCGGAACTGTCCCCCTCCCCATACAAGGGGATTTTCGACGAAAAATGAAAAATACCCCAAAAATACCTCCGAAAGGCCAAAAAATACTCAAAAAAAAATCCCCAGACTATTTTGGGATTATGTTTGGACTATTTTGGGGGTATTTTTTATTTTTCATCGACAATCCCCCTGTAGGGGGACAGGCACGATTTAAGAATATGTCGAGGCGATCCCAGCCGGGGCGACGAGGGCCTCCCAGGAGCCCCACGGAGGCCAGCACAAGGCAGGGGCGCCGCCGCCGCCTTCGCGGCCGCCGCCGCCGCGACCCCCCCTCCATCGTCGTCGTCGTCGTCGTCGTCGTCGTCGTCGTCGTCGTCGTCGTCGTCGTCGTCGTCGTCGTCGTCGTCGTCGACGTCGACGTCGACGTCGACGTCGTCGTCGTCGTCGACGTCGTCGTCGGCGTCACAATAGCGGTGTTGGCGGCGTCATAGCGGCGTTGGCACCTTTTCCTCCTCCGACTCCTCGGCCATGCTCCGGATGTCCTGCGTCGGCGGCGTGAGCAGCGGGCCGCTGTAGGACAGCGGCGCGGACAAGACTGCGGCGCCTGGCTGCAGCCGCTGCGGCGCCCCGTCCTGCGGCAGAAAGGCGTCCTGCAGCTCTTCGCCTGAGGCACAACATCAGGGGGGGACTGGCATAGGGGAGGGGCACATCGACCTGGAGCGATACATCGCCGATATATCAGCAATGGCCCCCGACACAAAATCCTGGGGCAGGTTGGGGCTATCAGGCCCTATCCCAGACCCCCTGGCGTCGTATTTTTGTTGTAACGTCCACCCTCAGAGGTCTGGAACCCCTCCCAAGGACTGGCTTTGCATCCTGAGTCGTTTTTTGACGGTCCCGAGGCCCGGTAAGGGCCCCCAGGGGCCGACAATAGCGAAAAACCTCCCGTCGTGTTTTTTTCGCAACGCGAAGGGGTCTGGGACGGCGATCGATGGACGATTCGGGGTCGATGCATCCCCCCCTCCTGCCCATCCACCCCCCCCCCGCATCGTTGCCCCTGATCGCCCCGCTGCGGCAGGGGCTCGCCCGCCTGCGCGGGGGGCTCCCGCGGCTGCGCTGGGCTCCTCGGGGGCGGCGCCGCCGGGGGCTCCTCGCTCCAAGAGGGCGGGCCCCGCAGCGAGGAGCTCTCCCGCCGCGGGGGCTCCAGCGGCGGGGGCTCCAGCGGCGGGCGCCGCGGCTGGAGCGGCGGCGAAGGCTGCCGCGGCGCCCTCGCGGCGGGCGGGCTCCTCAGTGTCCTCCTTGTCGTCCTGCTCCTCAGCTCCTCAGTGTCCTCTTCTTCCTCCTCCTCCTCCTCCTCCTCTTCTTCTTCCTCCTCCTCAGCATCAGCATCAGCATCAGCATCAGCATCAGCATCAGCATCAGCATCAGCATCAGCATCAGCATCAGCATCAGCATCAGCATCATCATCATCATCATCATCATCATCATCATCATCATCAGCATCAGCATCATCATCATCATCAGCATCAGCATCAGCATCAGCATCAGCATCAGCATCAGCATCAGCATCAGCATCAGCATCAGCATCAGCATCAGCAGCAGCATCATCATCATCATCATCATCATCGTCATCATCAGCATCATCATCATCATCATCAGCATCAGCATCAGCATCATCATCATCATCAGCATCAGCATCATCATCATCGTCGTCGGCAGCATCATCATCATCATCATCATCGTCATCATCACCATCGTCATCATCATGATTATCATCATCGTCATCATCATCATCATCAGCAGCAGCATCATCTGCATCATAATCAGCATCATCCCAATCCTCATCATCATTTTAATCCTTCGCCTCAGCATCATCACCACCATCATCAGTATCATCAGCAGCATCATCAGCATCATCAACATCATCAGCAGCATCACCACCGTCATCAGCATCATCATCACCATCAGCATTATCATCAGCGCCATCATCAGCAGCAGAAGCATCATCAACATCATCATCATGGTTTCTGATCAACAGCATCAGCATCATCATCAACATCATCAGCATCAGCATCATCATCGTCATCATCGTCATCATAAGATGTATCATCATCATCATCCTCATCGTCACCGTCATCGTCATCATCACAACAATCATCAGCATCGTGATCATCATCGGCATCGGTATCGACATCAGCATCAGCATCACTATCATCAGCATCATCACCATAATCATCCTCACCATCCTCATCATCATCATCATCGTCATCATCATCACCATCGTCGTGATCGTGGTCAGCGTCGTCGTCATCGTCATCGTCATCTCATCGTCAGCATCAGCAGCATAATCATCCTTCCCTAGGAATGCCCCGCATTCTAAGAAGACCTTGTATTGTTTGTTTCTTGGGGACACGTTAGAGAGAGAGGGAGGACATCCAGCGACGACAAGTGGGGAGAGACTGAACGGGTGTCCACACTGGCCACAAACGTAAATCCAATCGCAAAATCCAAGCCTAAGAAGACCCCGCCTTCTCGGAAGGTCACAACGCTCGCGCCACCCGCCTGTTCAGGCACACGCTAACATGGATCAAGGATCATTGACCTGGCGCGTTGGCGACGTACCCATGCATCGGGAACGGCACTCCCCGAAAAGTGAGGCCAACACCGCCTCACTTGGCGAAGGAGAGCACCGACTCTGTTTGTAAACGGGGCACGTCGTTAACCAGTCGCGGATTTCTTGGATCGGCGCTGGACCCCTCCCACTGGCACGCGGAGCGCACCAGGGGCGGCGTGAGAGGCGCCGCCAGGGGGCTCTGGCGCCGATCCTTGACATTCGTGCGGAAGTCCGAAAGTTTATGTTCATGCAGTTCTGCCGCTTTCTGATGATCCTCCCCCGCCAGAGTCAGGGTCGAGGCCTCTCGATGTCGCCGTCGCCAACTGACTCGGAGCAGGGCGAGTTGAGACAACGACAACTCAAAATCGATCCCTGGACCCCTCGTTGGGTCCAAACGCACCAGCTTTCCACGATGCATCTAACCGTGGAGACGACGGGGTCTCCTGAAACCCATGTACTGTTGTCTCAGATCGCCTCCACGAGATCCGACGTCACAGAAAAAATGCAACATCGCGATAATGACCGACCAGATCCCTGGACCCAACGTTTCTGCTGCATTTTTCGAGACGGATCGATATGTGAGGATCCCGGGGCCCGAACATCGGCGAGATCGCCCGTTGCGAACAAATTGCGACGAGCTTGTGCGCGCCGCCGACTCATCCCCCCAGTCAGGCTCGCGGCCTCTCGATGTCGACGTTGCCAGCGGCAGCTGCGCCGCCGTCGGCGTCGTCTCCATCGAGCACACTCCGCGCGTCGGCAACAACGGCGTTGTTCTTGTTGGAGAACCCGGGCCTCGATGGGCACTCGCACGCCGGCCGAACCCCGCTATGCGCCGCGCCCAAGGCTGGGACGTCGCCATTTGTTCGCACCTGGCGGCTGCAGTCATGCTCGCGTCGTGACGAAATCGCGAGGGGGTGGCTTTTGGCCGTTTCGTCCTCGGGGGGCCTTCGCCAGGCCTCGGGACCGCAACCGAAACAATTAGCCTGGCGGCGAAAGACACGACCATATTCAGCTGTAGGTGCCGCGATCGCGCGTATAATCTTCGACGGGGTTCTGATGGGGGGGGGACTTGAAATGTGTGAGGGTGTCTCCCGCTGTGGGCCACGAGGCTGTGCCTGCTTTGCAGTACGCCATGCAGGGCTCCGCAGCTCCGCAGGTCGCTCCACCAAGGGCGGAGCTCCCTGCGCGGCCACGAAACGCTGTGCCGGGCGGGGGAGAGTCATGCGAACACCGCCACGGGGGCCTTGGATGGAACTCCATGTGGGGCCACGAAACGCTATCGCGGGTGGGGGAGACGCATGCGAACACCGCCACTGGGGCCTTAGATGGAGCTCCCTATGGGGTCACGACGCGGTGTCCGGGGGGGGGAGACGCATGCGAACACCGCCACTGGGGCTAAAGTGGAGCTCCAAGTAGGGCCACGAACCGCTGTCCTGGGTAAGGGGGACGCATGCAAACACCGCCACTGGGGCCGTAAGTGGAGCTCCCAGTGGGGCCACGAAACGGTGTCCCGGGCGGGGGAGACGCATGCGAACTTTGCCACTGGGGCCTTCGGTGGAGCCCCCATATGGGCTACGAAACGATTTACTGTGTGCGGGGGACGCACGTGAACGGTTACGTTGGGGCCTTCGGTGGAGCTCCATGTGGGGCCTCGAAACGCGGAGGGGAAGACGCATGTGAACGATTCTATTGGAGCCTCTGGTGGGTTCCGTCTGGGACACGAAACCCCGCACTCTGTGGGGGGGACGCATGTGGACACCGCCACTGAACCCTTCGGTTGTTTTCCCTGTGGGACCACGAAACGCCGTGCCGGGCGGGGGGGACGCATGAGGACGGCGACATTGACGCCGTAGGTGGAGCGCCCTATGGGGCCACGCAGCGCTGTAGTGGGTGGGGGAAACGCATGTGAAAGGGTCCATTGAAGCCCCTGGTGGAGTGGACACCGCCATTGGGGCCGTCGGTGCAGCTCCCTTTGGGGCCACGGAGCGTTGTGTTGGGTGGGGGAGACGCATGTGGACACCGCCACAGGGGCTTCGGTGGAGCTCCGTATTGGGCCTCGAAACGCTGTGCTGGGTGGGGGAGACGCATGTGGACACCGCCACGGGGCCTTAAGTTGAGTTCCCTAAATGGCAACGAAACGCTGTGTTGGGTGGGGGGGGCACATGTGGACATCGCCATTGGGGCCTTAGGTGGAGCTCCCTCTGGGGCCACTGAGCGTTGCGCTGGCTGGGGGAGACTCATGTGGGCACCGCCACGGGGGCCTTAGGCGGAGCTCTCTATAGGGCCAAAAAGTGCTGTGTTGGGTGGGGGAAACGCATGCGGACACCGTCACTGGGACTTTCGGTGGAGGTCCCTATGGGGCCACGCAGCCTTGTCCTGGGAGGGGGAAGCGCATGTGAACGGGTCCATTGAGGCACCTGGTGGAGCTCCCTATGGGCCACGAAACGCAGTGCTGGGTAGGGGAGGCGCACGTGGACACCGCCATTGGGGCCGTCGGTGCAGCTCCTTTGGGGGCCACGGAACGTTGTCTTGGGCGGGGAAGACGCATGCGAACACCGCCACTGGGGCCGCAGGTGGAGCTCCATATGGGGCCACGAAACGCTGCCCTGGGTGGGGGGGGACACATGTGGACACCGCGATTTGGGCTCTAGGTGGACTTCCCTCTGGGGCCACTGAACGCTGTGTGGGCTGGGGGGGACGCATGTGGACACCGCCACTGGGGCCTTAGGTGGAGCTCTTTATGGGGCCACGAAGCGCCGTACTGGGTGGGGGAGACGCATGTGGACACCGCCACTGGGGGCCTTAGGTGAAGCTCCTCATGGGGGTCAAGAGATTTTGTGCTGGGTGGGGGGGACGCATGTGGACTCCGCCACAGGGGCTTTAGGTGGAGCTCCCTATGGGGCCACGAAGCGCAGTGCTGGGTGGGGGAAACGCACGTGGACACCGCCATTGGGGTTTTCGGTGGGGTTCCCTATAAGGCCAAGAACTGTTGTGCTGGGTGGGGGAGACGCATGTGGGCACCGCCACGGGGGCCTTAGGTGGAGATCCTGATGGGGGCAAAAAAATGTTGTCTCGGGTTGGGGTAACGTATGTGGACACCGCCACTGGGACTTTCGGTGGAGCTCCTTATGGGGCCAAGAAACGCCATGCTGGGCGTGGGAAACGCACACGAACTTTGCCACTGGGGCCTTCGGTGGAGCTCCTTATTGGACCACGAACGACGGCGAGCACATGCGCAGGGCAGAGGCAAGGATGGGAGGAGGGGGAGGGGGAGAAGGAAGGAAGGAGGGAGGGAGGGAGGGAAGGAGGGAAAAAACGGTGACCGTCTCTTCAAGACCGTCTCTTCAAAACGAAGACCCAACACCACAGGATGGTTGGGAGAAGCAAAACCCAATTACCCTGGCGAAAGACCCGACCATATTAAGCTGCAGGTACCGCGATCGCATGTATAATCCTCGGCCGGGTTGCTTTTGGGGGGGAGGGCGAAATGTGTGAGAGGGTTTTCCGTTGTGGGCCACGAGGCCGCGCCTGCTTTGCAATACGCCATGCTGGGCTCCGCAGCTCCGCAGGTCGCTCCACCCGCGTGGAGCTCCCTGTGGGGCCGCGTAAAGCCGTCCTGGACAAGGGCCACAAGTGGAGCTCCCTGTGGGGCGACGAAAATCTGTTTTGGGTGGGGGGACGCATGCGAACACCGCCACTGAAGCCTTCGGTGAATCTCCCTATGGGGCCACGAAGCGCAGTGCTGGGTGGGGGTGCGCATGCGGACGGTGCCATTGAGGCCGCAGGTGGAGCTCCCTATGGGGTCACGACGCGGTGTCCTGGGTGGGGGAGACGCATGCGAACACCGCCACTGGGGCCTGACGTGGAGCTCCCTGTGGGGCCGCGGAGCGCTGTGCTGGGTGGGGGACTCATGCGAACACCGCCGCCGGGGCCTTGGGTGGAACCCCTTGTGGGGCCACGAAACGCTGCCCTGGGTGGGGGAAACGCCTGCGAACACAGCCACTGAGGCCTTAACTGGAGCTCCCTGTGAGGACATGAAACGCTATCTTGGGCGGGGAAGACGCATGCGAACATCGCCACTGGGGCCGCAGGTGGAGCTCCATATGGGGCCACGAAACGCTGCCCTAGGCGGGAGGACGCATGCGAACTTTGCCACAGGGGCCTTCGGTGGAGCCCCCTTCTGGGCCACGAAACGCTGTACTGTGTGTGTGGGGGGGGGGGGGGGGGCGCATGTGAACGAGTCCATTGGGGCCTTCGGTGGAGCTCCATATGGGGCCACGAAACGCGGCTGGGAAGACGCATGCGAATTGGGGCCATCGGTGGAACTCCGTGTGGGACACGAAACGCCGTGCTGGGTGGAGCAGACGCCTCTGGGCACCGCCACTGCATGGGGCCTTCGGTGGTTCTCCCTGCGGGGCCACGAGGCGCAGTGCCGGGTGGGGGAGACGCATGGGGACGGTGCAATTGAGGCCGTCGGTGGAGTTCCCTTAGGCCCTATGGTGCCACGAAGCGCTGTATTGGGTTGGGGAGACGCATGTGAAGGGGTCCAATGTGGCCTCTGGTGGGGCTCCCTGTGGGGCCACGAAACGTTGTGCTGGGTGGGGGGGGCGCATGTGGACACCGCCGCTGGGGCCGTCGGTGGAGCTCCCCATGGGGCCACGAAACGCCGTGCTGGGTGGGGGAGACTCATGTGGACACCGCCACTGGGGCCTTCACTGGAGCTCCGTATGGGGCCACGAAGCGGTGTCCTGGGTGGGGGAGACACATGTGGACACCGCCGCAAGTGGAGCTCCTTATGGGGCCACGAAACGCCGTGCTGGCTGGGGGAGACGCATGTGGACTCAGCCACTGGGATTTTCGGTGCCCGACGGGGCCACGAAACGCCGTGCTGGGTGGGGGAGACGCATGTGGAAACCGCCACCTGGGGCCTTCGGTGGATCTCCCTATGGGGCCACGAAACGCAGTGCTGGGTTGGGGGAAACGCATGTGGACACCGCCACTGGGGCCTCAGGTGGAGCTCCCTATGGGGCCACGAAACGCCGTGTTGGGTGGGGGAGACGCACGTGGACACCGCCACTGGGGCCTTCGGTGAAACTCCTTATGGTGCCACGAAACGCTATGCTGGACGGGGGGGACGCATGTGGACTCCGCCGCTGGGGTCTTCGGTGGAGCTCCGTATGGGGCCACGAAGCGCCGTGCTGGGTGGGGGAGACTCATGTGGACACCGCCACTGGGGCCTTCGGTGGAGCTCCGTATGGGGCCACGAAACGCCGCGCGGGGTGGGAAGACGCATGTGGACACCGCCACTGGGGCTTTCGGTTGAGCTCCTTATGGGACCACGAACGACGACGAGCACATGCGCAGGGCAGAGGCAGGGATGGGAGGAGGGAGGAGGGGGAGAAGGAAGGAAGGAAGGAAAGGAAGGGGGGAGGGAGGGAGGGAAGGGAAGGAACGTGGGGACCGTCTCTTCAAAACGAGACCCAATACCACAGGATGGTTGGGAACGAAATGGGAAAATCGCCTCTGGGAAAGGGTCGGGACTTCGGGGCGTCGCCAAATTCTCATGCGTCAGGCGAAGCCAGGATCGGGGACAAATCCGCCGACCCTGTCGGCTTCTGGAAGACGCGGTTTGTCGTCGTCAAGACGCTGCTCGTCGTGAGCCACGTCGTCGACGTCACCGCTCCCACGACGAGAGCCTCGTCGACGACGTCACCGCTTCCACATCGAGGTCGCCGCTCTCGCTTCTTTCCCTGAGCCCGTCGCCGAACATGTCAAAGGCCCCTTGCCCTTGATCCCTTCCCTGCGGCGATTGGGGGGGCGGGGGCGGCCCGGGGGCTGTCCCGGGGGGGGGGGGGGTCCTGGGGAGAGGTCCAGGGGTGAGGGTCCCGGGTCAGAATACCATCCCCCAGGGGGGTCCCCGGGCCAGTAAAGCCCCAAGACGGTCAAGAGGCCCCCACGACAGTCCAGGAGGACCCCGAATCGCCGAATTATCGGTCCAAGACGCCAAAGTAGCCTCCAGACGGCCCAAGCGGCTTCCAAGACTGGCCCCAAGACGGCCCAGAAGGCCCCCAAGACGCCCCAAGAGCGACCCAAGAGGCGTCCCAAGAGGGCCCCAAGAGGTCAAAATCATGAACTTTCGTCTGGTGTTTGACAATTATTTGGGTTTCCGCGTTTCCGGCTGTCCGACGCTCCAAGACGGTCCAAGAGGCTCCAAAAACCGCCACAAGACGGCCCAAGAGGCCCCCAAGAGTGCCCATAGACAGCCCAAGAGGGCCCCAAGACAGCCCAAGAGCCGCCCAAGACGGCCCGAGAGGGCCCCAAGACGGCCCCACGAGGAGCCCCAGAGAGTGACCGCGAAAGGACAATTCCAACCGTCTGCCCCAAGAGGCCCCCAGGAGGCCCCACTCTTGAAACCCCAAGAGGCCCCCAAGAGACACCCAAGAGGCACCAAGGGGCAAACAAGATGCCAAAAAGAGGCCCTAAGAGGCCCCCAGGAGCCCCCCAACAGGCCCCCAAGACGTTCCCAAGAGGCCCCCAAACTATCCCCGTCGGCGTTGTAACCATCATCGCCGTCGCCGTCGTTGGCGTCGTTGGCGTCGTCGTCGTCGTCGTCGTCGTCTTCGTCGTTTGCG